CACGGTGGACATTGTAAACAACGACGGTCGAACTGCCGTGAGTGAGGTGTGTGGGAGGGAGCAGGTTGACGGATCTGCGATGGTGTCAACGGAATTGTGCTGCTTAGCATCGCTGGGAAGATCTTCACTCGCATTCTCCTCCATCGTCTCAACGGCTACCAGAAATAAGAACTTCTTGCAGGAACTCAGTGCGGATCCTGACGCTGTCATGGTACAACTAGCACGATATTCGTTGCATACTAACTGCAAAACAACGGTCAGCAGATGCATATCAACCTATGCACAACATTTGTGAAACAAGCGGAAGTCTTCGGCGAGGTACATCGTGATTAGCACTGGGAAATCGCGCAGAAATTCGACTGTTCTGAAGGATTTACGTCACGACGGATTAATGGCACGCGTAACGACCATTGTGACAGTTTCATAAGCATTTGCACTGGCTGGTGGATTAGAGCAGGATTGAGCACTCGCACCCACCCTCTTCATCCTTATGTCCTCTGCCATAGCAGCGGACGGCTGCCTTGGTGAGCGCCCTGGGATCAGCATCGCTGTATTTAGTCATCCAAGATGACGTTATGTTCCTTCCTGATCCCTCTCCTCACTTCATGCGTCCAATAGTGCCCAACTGTTTGGTTGAGACCGTCCTCAAAGATTTACTTACACAATTGGGTCACTGCGGCCAACGCCGAAGAGAGTAGGTCGCTTGCGCGCGTTTTTGGTGGTCACAGCTTCGTTCATCTTTTCACCTCTTCCGCCGGTCTTGCCCGACATGTGCTGTCATCAAACCACCTATACCGTCCTCCCACACACCTCTGACTACTGGGATCCCCCATAAACGTGCCGGTCTGGGCATAATCGGCCCCCAACCAATCTCCCTCCTAGGCTTTGAATACCTCCTCGTGATGATGAACTACTTCGCGAAGTGGGTCGAAGCGGTGCCCCTCCTACAACAAGACGCAGGGTCCGTCGTGGACGCTACCAGCTGCATATAAATCAGCTGTTGCGGCGCCCCTCTGTCGTTTTATTCAGACAGTGTCAAGCATTTCGGTTCCAAGCTGATGCAAGGGATTTGTTGACTTCTGGACATACACAAATCCCCCACGAACCCCAATCACGCAGAAGGTAACGGTCTCGTAGAGGAGACCAACCATATTCTGCATAATCTCCTTCTGGCGTTCGCCAAGGATGGCCGCGAGCCTCACTGGGACGCCCACGTCCCGGTTTTCCTACTGGATTACCCGGGAGCAGTCCATTCATCCACGGGGTTCGCACCCACTTTCTCATGGACTGGCCGTGAACATCGCCTTCTAGGCGGTCTCCTCTATCCTCTACCGACACCTTCCCCCTACCGCAACCCAGGACTTTGTCACATACCTTCGTCAAATCATACTGTGAGGACACAACGCGGCACGCGGCTTCTCGCCATCGAAATAAAGAGTCCGACCGACACACGTCTGGTAACCCCTATCAAATGGTGACTTGGTCATGCACCGAAATCCGTCACTCCCCGCGGAACCTCTTTTAAATCCCACTTCCCATTTTAAGGAACGTTTTTGGCCCTGGAAATGCTCGCCCCGACCACGTGCCTCCACGAGACACCGTCTGAACCCGGAAACGCTCGCTGATTTGTATAGCGAACCAACCGATCTTTTAGACGAAGTCTAACTGGTCGCCCCACAGGGATAATTGCAGGCAGCTTTCCTGTCTGCTGATGAGAATAAGCCTCAATCCGCCCTGACTCGTTTGACATGTACAACGTCATCGTAACCCACATTAAATTGTTCGACCAATCGTCTGATAGCGGCCGGACCATGCCGCAAAATGTTTTAGTTATTCACTCTCCGCAATGGCCATCCTTGTTGACGCCCTCGTGTTGATTGCTCTTTTTGCAAGCTGTACTCACGGTTCTGCATTTACATTTGATCTACCTGACGGCGAAAGAAGATGCTTTTATAATACTTTAAAATCGAAAGTCACGTCACAAATCGAGTTTCAAGTATGTTTATTATGAACACCCGTAGCATTTTCTTTCCGCCAATAGAGAATTTAACTGCTCTGACAAGTTAGTTTAAGTTTGTGCTCAGAGCTCTTCTGTTTAGTCGTTCCCTCTTTCCGGGCCTTTGGTTAGATTATATCACTTCGCAAAATAAAAATATACGCATATGCGTATATATGTAACTTGATCCGATGCGTAAGAAACTAAAATATGTAAAAGGGCACCCACTTGCTACCTTTCTTAAGAAGGGTTTAATCATCCATCATAGCCTACGAAAACCACCACATTCCCGGTAAATCGGTGGCTGCTTTTGCGGGAAATGGATTTAGTGAACACTACTCTGTTTTTAGTGTTTGAGCCGGGGAGTTTCTGTTTAACCACCGTGCTACGCACTTATGAAACTTTTTCAAACACTGCCATATGTCCTACTTGAATTAATGATTTGCTGTAGCAAGCTTACCGCAGCTGTTTATTTCTAAAAAGTCGACCAGACTACTGCCATAAGAAGTTGTGATTTATGTCTTGTTTGAAAAGAATGGAATTTAAAAACATACGGCCATCCCGAACAAAACGCCCTCGGAATAAACCTCAAAGAGGGTGGTTCAGAACTGACCTCGCTCTCCTGATGCACCTCCATTATTACGATAACGTCTTGACAGTCAGAGTTTGCAAGCTAATAACTGGCGTCACTCACTAGTTTGTCTTCGAACGTATAATATAGTCAGCAGATCTGCGGATTCATCGTGCATGTGTGTCACATCTGATCATCCCGAATCAGTCTGGGCACTGAAACTCGGCGATAATACAGACTGGAAGCTAGCGAGCGCGCGGTATTCGCAGACAGATGGACATTTTCGGTCAACTACTCAGCCCAAGATGGTCTTTAGATGTATTGACTTAGTTCGAATTGGACAAGCATGATACGTTGAACACGCCTAGGTGCAGTTTCCACCCAAGCTACCAGTGTATCCCTGGTAGTAGCTCATCTTCAAGGACTACGCCCTAGTTATTCTTTTTCTACCCATCTCGGGGTTGGAGCGTTTTGTTGTTTATGATTACATACAGAGGCAGCCGCTCACCTCATGTTCGTTCAGACGGTTTGTTCTGTGCCCCTCTCGGTTTATTCCGTGTATATTTCTTCCGGTTTTTATGCTTAGTGTGCGCGTGTACTGAAAAACGACGAGTATCTCAATACCGTAAATTTTTGATTGTCATTGAAGTATTTGTTTATCTGTTGTCCAATCATCTTAGCTATAGTAAGTGCATGTGGTGTGGTAATAAATTCAATGCTGGACTTGACTAGTCATTCGCCCCAACTCTTTCTCTCTAAGGTGATTTCAGGGGGCAACTTCGACGTGGACGTCACTATGCGAGATCCAAAAAATAAAGTTGTGAAGTCTTTCAAACGGGAACAGTACAATTACTTCGACTATGAGCCAAAAATGAACGGTGATTATCAGGTGGGCCTTTTTCTAGGCTGGATTACGCTTGTCTTATCTTTTTCACACTTATCCATCGTGAACGTTTTAGCGATCCTTTTGAAGAACGTCGCGCATCTCAACCTTCTTGTGATTTGGACCCTTTTGTGCATTTTGACCCTTTGCTTACACCGGAGTCGGTCATTTGGAAATGCAGGTGCTCATTGTTTTGGAATTTGAGAGCCTGTCTCGGCTGGGTTGGCAGTCTTCGTTACACAATCGCTGTCTTCGCTCTCGAGGCAGTTGAGTGTCTGGCACCCTAGTAGCAAACTATGTCGAGGCGATATCAAGTAGATATCTATTTTCTGAGATACTTATGTCGAGTAAGTATCGATTTTGTCCGCTGTGCCGATATCGGGTAGATATCCATTTTTCGAGATACTCCGGAAACGGCGGTAGCGGGATGTTAGGCACTGCGCTCACCGCGTTTACTTAATCCGATGCCCGTACTATATTCGAATACCTTCAAATTGCCTTTGTCATCCCGTTACTGGCCTACTAAACCCGTGACAATACGCGTTAGTTGAACGGCCAAATGCCATCTATGCCAACGGCGGTCAATTATTTTGAAGACAGGTAAATTGAAAGATTTCTATTGGAATACGTAATTTAAATAATTTAATGCATAGTTAGCGGTTGGGGGAATAAGGCCGATCTCATATCGAAGATCCCGGATTGTTTTGTATAGAACAAGATTAATTTTATAAGATTTGCTGTTAATTGACCAGTTTGACTAGCCAGTGCCCCACTGTATTCTTTGGGCGTAGACCCCAGATCCGATAATTTAACAGCGCTAGTGGTGTTCCACGCAGCGAAAACGTCTGGATATAGACAGTAAGACACTGAATTACCAACTTACCCTACATAACGTTATAAATTTCCGACTAACTTAGGCTCTCTTTCAATTTCCGTCACTTGAAGTTGGCATGGATGCTAATTCCATCTTCGGAAAGCGCGACAAAGATGCGCTTAACAAAGCCATCCAAATTGATTCCCCAGGCAGGTGAGAAAACTGACCTCCTGTCCCGTACAGTGGTACAAGGGACACCCTACCAGTTGGCTGCCTTATTACGCTGTCCTCAACGAGGACATTCACGTGGCGGAATTCCTCTGCCGTCCTCATCGATCTCTAACGAATTTCTTAGCTGCAGGGTAACCAAGTTACCGGCGGGTTTCTGTTAAATGCCCCGCGCTTCCAGTCTTCGCACGCAACCGTGTATTCGACGATTTCTTCTAATAAGCACGTCCAAATTTCCTGAGATTCCTGCGGTATGTTGGATCAGCAGCGCGACGGCCCGTCCAAATCTGCCAGCCGGGCGTGGGACGGTGGCTCCTGGAACTCTATGGGAAAATTCAGTTGAAAGGTATATCACCCTCAAAGCGCAATGGCTCCCGTGATGGTGGGGTGTCCTAGGTGTCACACTGAAGACACTTTCAGGCAAATAATAATCCCCACGGAGACTGGGGTGCTCATAAAATCCTCCACAGATGATAGAATCATTTAGGAAAAATCTACATGAAAGTCTTGTTCTTAGTGGTTACATTTTTCACGTTGACTCTCTAGCTCTCTGGAAACATCCCATAACATGGCTTTACCGAAAAAACTGAGTCTTGTTGAGTAGCACAGTTGTTTTGACATGACCCTGCAAATAATTCCAATGGGGATAGATCAGGCGAGGTCGCGCTAGCCAGGGGCTTGGTTTACTTCTACCTATCCACTTGTTTGAAGATGTTTTATTTCTGACCTCTCGGATATTTGGTGCATAATATCATAGTGCCCAATCCCGCCGGAATAAAGAAACTAGACTACATTGTCAGATAACTCGCTATCAATGAGGAGAGGGCCTATGAGACGCGATCTTCCGATTACTCAGCGCCTCGGCCTTTTCTGGTTATGTCGTCTCCCGTACGTGGCCACTTTGCCTACTGACTTCGCCACAGACGTAGAACGTTGCTTCATCTGAAAAGGTCATCATGTCATATGACAGTAATCCAGTCTCATGTATTTTGTAAACCAGCTTTTATAGGCCTTTTATGGAGTAACTTTCAGAGTTTGCATGCGCTATTGACACCGGGATATTAGACTCATCAGATGTTCGCCAGAGAGACTTCAGAGTCCTCGCGAAGGGTTTTGAAACCCCCACCAATTCCGGGCCCATTAAGTCGTAATTTACCAGTAGTTTGTGGGGTCCCTGTAAATATTCGTATTCGCGTACTTAGTGAGGAACACATTGTCAATGAGTGGTGAAATGTCTGATCAGGACTGTTATCGATGTAAACTCAACAAACCAGAAGGTTGAACACTCATGTACTTTTTTGTGCAATAACTCGGCCATTCGCACGACATGCGCTGCTAAATTTTAGAACTACTACAAGACTTCATTAGCATGCAGTATGTTAGTGCCTCTTGCTATGACCACTGATACAGTCCTCTACCTTGCTTCCGTTGACCTTATCCCGCCTGTGTGTCGATCGTCTGTTGGATTCGGTTCAGGCAAACCTGATTGGTCTTTTTCATAAGAGACACGACCTACGCATTCGATGTTTCTCAATGTGCATATCGTTCCCATAACTGTGGCAGTTCTGCTGAGTGTAGAAGTTCTTGAGGCTGTACTTGTCAGAAGACCCTAACGGCCTATTTTTCTCTTGCGTCCGACTGGTGTGTATGTATGTAAGTTGGTCACTTTATTCTGCCTTCAGGCCTTCCGCTTGCTGTGACACGGCAGATAACATCTCGCTTGAGATCTTTAGCTCACACAGACAGCCTGCATGTCTACCGTGAGGGCCGTCAGGCAAGTAGAGACCACGTGTACGCCGACGGGCGCGCCGCTCACATGCATATTCAGTCAGCCTTCATTTCATCGACAAAGGAAGGGTGTGGCAAGGGAGGGTGAAGTGTAGGCTTTATAAGTCTTCCACTGCGGACTGGCACTGTTCGAGTGCCGGATCTAGTCTACTCATAACGACGGCCACGTTTGTAATGACCCCAATTCTCTTGTCTGTATGCCTGCGTCCTTTGAAAGCCAACAAAGGAGGTACTTCATATTCCTTAGAAAAACATTTGAATAGCTCTTCTCCTACGGGACTGTAACTTCCGAATGCTTCAAGACATCCACTGAGTCGGATCTTTCGAGAGTTCTTTATCGAGCCAATCCCTGCCTCCCCCCTCCCCCATTCCAGTCATTGACGATGATAAATAGGCCCTGAAGAATGATATTGTAAGCGTCTGCTCGCTACACTTGACTTTCTCGCTCCTCCTACCTTAGACTTCATCATTTCCTCTCCCCTACAGCTTTGTTTCAGCAACGAGTTCTCCACCATTACCCACAAAATTGTCTACTTCTCATGGGATACCCCTGAAGATCATGTCGATGCCGACGAAGCCGAGACTGCTGCACCCCTTACAACGGTAAAGAGCAAACATTTTGTTGTATAACTTTTCTTGCTTAAGGGTATTGTCTTGGAATCGCATACTAGTTCGGGTTGTGTGCACTGCCGGGAAATAATGCTTACTCCGCATGGTTGGCCCGCTTGTTTAAACTAAGTACCCGCGTAGTTTGAAAGCACTCATCTGGGGACACTTGCCGTTTTATCCGCACTGCCCCCTTCGTCATAATTGGCAATGGCTATCATCACCAGTCTGTGCTGTTTGTGTGCAGAGCCGTGTTGGCAGCTGTCTGACAATTGGACCATTGCTGCAGAGTCCACGCTCTACCCCTGACATCCTTATTCTACACTCAAGGCCAGTTGTTGTGAAGAAGAACATCGATAGCATACCTGAAGTAATGAAGTGTTTCCGACAGTTGACAGTCACCATCCTCCTAGGCCTTGGTGGAAAGTGTATCTGCCCCCCTCCCCCCCAGGACTTCTCCGGTCCTGCTTTCATTACCTCCGGGGTTGGAAAAATCATGGTCAACATTGACTTTGCTTCTCGGAAGTTTGTTGAGCGCGCCCTCCAGACTAGGGACGAACCTAAGCTTTGTCCTGCTGAAACTGAGCAAGGACGAAAACCCGGCTGGTTGTAAGCCGCAAGCAGTTATAATGTCCCCGAAGACATCCTCCACTTTCTGCGAATCGAAGTACCTCTAGATTTCCTCTGTTCCGCTGTTCAGCCGAGTATATTGCAGTTCGCGAACTTTCTGTTGGGCCTGTCGGTGAAGCTCAGAGAAAGCAGCCTTGTGTGAAAGAGGTCTTCTTTGTTCGTACGCTCGATGATGTTTAAAGTTGGGGACATCGTGTCCGAGCTTAAATTCTACAACTTCTGCATCGAATGTCCCACCTATTATGCCTTCTGCCGGAACCGCGTGCTCCACAGAGCTAAGGGGACCGCTGTGATCAGCCTGCCTTTGGACCAAGTCATGGAGCTGCCGTCGTCCAGCTTCAGAGGATGGTGTGTTTTGCGCAGTTAGGTTAAGATCTGTTGGATGTTTTTAACTGGTTGTGTGACGGCGAAAACGGAGGTGTCCAACCAGACCAATGCGGTACCGGAATGTATGGGCTCTAAAAGGTGCTCATCTGATATCTTCCCCACATTGCCGCGCAATCTAAGTAGGACTTGCTTCAGCATGGCAACGATGTTGAACACTCAAGTAGATTATAAGTAGCAGTCACGTGTCTGGACACGGTTTTTTGCCGCGTCAATATGTTCGCATAATTCTTAGTCAGCGCCAAGGTCCCAGTTGCGGTCAAATCACAGTCTACTAACTTGGTACTTTGTAACCGGTCGAGTTAGGTGACCCTTCGAGGCTATAACTGGTTGACGACATGATTTGGACCTTTAATTGTCGCTTCTGGACCTCAGCGAAGTCACCCTCAGCTGACACTACTGCCAGGCGCCGGCAAAATACTTTTCGAAGCGGAGGCGTTCACTGCCCGCCCCTCCTGTTGAACGCTTCCTCTTCTTTTGATATGGCACCGGGAAATAGCATCTTTACTACTACTACTACTACTACTACTACTACTACTACTACTACTACTACTACTACTACTACTACTACTACTACCACTACTACTACTACTACTACTACCAATACTACTACTGCTGCTACTACTACTATTACCACCACTACTACTTTTTGAAGTCTAGGGCTTATGTTTGACCGGTTTTGTTCGAAAGATAGCTCCTGGCCTCAAAAGGGTTACTGCGCTAACCCATCACCGCAACACCTCGCAGGGAGATTTTGGCATTTTATCCATGGATATTCGCCCCAGTTTTTGCTCTCCGGCATGCAAGTTGCTCCCGCCAAGTCCAACTAACTCCTTTGAATCATAGCCCGATGGTCATTCAAAAACCCTGATTGAGCCATGAATAACCTAGCGGTAGTCGCATGGAACGGCCCCCTGGAGCCGTGGTCTGCCACCTGTGGACCTTTTGGGTACATCTGGCCCTTGTCTGTCTGTGTTGTCGCGCATTGCAAGTGCCGGCATATGAAAACTTGCTGGTGAGGGAATGACTTACTCCATACTGTCAGGTCTAATTTGATGTTACTACATCTTTGCTCCACCTCTGATTGTATTTTGCTCCTTGCTGCCGCCAGATGGACAGCAGTCTGCACGCCATACAGGAGAACCTCCGCCAGGCTGAAAAGTTCCAGACTCGCAATAGACTCCAGGAGGAGGCCTCACGCAACTTCATCGAGGACCTCAACGATCGTGTGACTTGGGGTTCAATCGCTCAGGCCTGCATCATAGTCGTTGTGGCGGTGGGTCAGGTCTACCTCCTGCGTTCTCTCTTCAAGGACCCCGTGCATCATAAACGCTCTCGAATGACTCCCGCCGCAACGGTGCACTCGGTGGGCTTCTAGGTGGCGCTTATCGCCACTGCCCGGCCGCGCGGAATGCGTGTCGCACGCATTCTGTCTTTGCTCAACCTCTCCTGACTTCTGGCCTATCGTAACCAGCAAATTTTTACTTGCCTGCGCGCCCGTGTCTTTCAGTGCAAGAGATCGTCAGCTCGTCCTCCTCCTTCCTCATGAGGCAGATTGCCGGTCCTTTCCTCTCAACGTTGCTCCACCAGAACTTTGCGGAAGTCACTAAATCTCACAATTTTGCGGAGGACTCCCCCTACCTGTCATGCAGTTTTATTTATATTTTATTAGATTGGTTAGTTTGCACAGGAAGAAGGCGTCTCGTCTTGTGCACTTCCAACGGTCAGGGCTCAGAAATCATAGGACTCGTTCTTTCGGAAGCCTGTTGTAGTCGAGCAATGCTGTTTTGGGCCAGCGTTAACTGACTAGTTTGAAGACATGCGCATTTTAAGGGGGGTAGATAAGACACTGAACATCTTCCGGAAGACAGGATGGTACAGTGAAAGATTGCAGCTCACATCAAAATGAAAGCTTGCACAACTAACCGCCGTAAGTAAACATGTAGGGGCTTCGTATATTTCGAAAACCTGGCCTGTGAAAGTTGGACAGAGTACTGAATTAATGAATTTTGACGTAAAGATGTGCGGCAGTCCGATGGGGATGCAACTTCGTCAAGATGGAGAGAGTCTTGTCGTGGAATATTCCACAAGCAGAACTTCCTGGGGAGGAAGCCGAACCGGCATCAGAAGACGAGATGCAACGAGTATACTCAAGAGAGTATGCCAGTCGCACTGAGCAGCTTTCACTGCACTCTTGTTCAGCGAGACTCCAGTGAGGCACAACGTTTCAGCCGGATCCTGTTGGGGGTCAAGTGGTGCGCGCAAGTGGACTTGTTACCGGCCGGGAAGGTTACCCCGCCTGGCGTCTAAAGTCACTACCAAGTCCAGCTAGAGCCGCACCCAGTCGTCAAGAAACCCTACTCAGCCGTAACTGCGTAGCGGT